ATATTTTTGTTGGGCGAGATGAGATGCAATGCTAATTCTGCTGAAAAATACGCGACATATATTCCCATATATTACCCAGAGATAAATCATCATTTTTCAAATTTTTTTAATTTTAAACTGAAAAATGTTGAACAAAGAAAGCAAAACTGTAATTTATTCACTAAAATAACCCTCAGAAACCAATTTCTTCACACAAAACAATCTCAGGTACCTTGAAGATTTGAGTGAAAAATTGCTATTAATTAAATAATTACCCGTTGATAGAGCAATTTTTTTTTTTAATAATTCTCATCAAAAACTTCAAAATTTCTTAGAAGAAACCCAAAATATGGATTTAGCGACCTAAATTACCCCTAAAACATACATTCTCTCATGTTAGTAAGTTCAGGCGCCTCTGAGGACTTTTGTCCGGCTAAACTTGGCTGCTGGCCCTCCGTGCGGCGTGGCGAGCGCCGAACCACGCCGAAGTTTTAGAGTGCTGATATAGTCGCTAAACTAATGCCGCTGGCCGGTGCGGTGAGAGGAAGGAAAACTAAATAATCTTAGTGACGATCTCAATCTTAGATTATTATCAGTCCATTGTTGCCGAGTTTCAGTCCAAGAGCGCATGCGCGAAAACAGAAAAGTTGTGCGTGAGTGGCCCGAGCTGGCAAAAATTACGATTGCGCAACACTTTAGGCCACTTCACAGAACTTGAACACGACACAGAAACTGAGTCCCTAGGGACTGCCAAGGTTCGAAAAGGTCTCTAGGAGGAAGCTCCTTTCAAAGCTGCATCGATTGATGCCAAACACTGGTTTTAAAAGACACTTTAAACAAGGTTTAGAGGTTGATAAACTGGAGCAGAGCAAAACACGACTACACGGCTCGAGAGCGCAGTTGCCAACCCCAGTATTTTCTCTTGCTTATTGACTTACAGGATAGTGTTGCTGTATCGTCTTAGCGATGATAGCCGTGTTGCGGCCATTGAGGAGGGCGGCCTTCTCGAGGACGGCGATGGCCTCCTCCTGGCGGCCGACGGCGAGGAGCCAGCGAGGCGACTCAGAGAGGACCCAGATGTAGCCGAGGTAGAAGGAGGAGATGAGCGCCAAAGCGAACTGGAACTGCCGCCAGTCCCGCAGGAAGAAGGCGAAGCCCGCCATGAAGCAATGTCCCAGGCCGAACGGGATCTGATACAGGATCGGAACTGTCGTCCGCCATTTTCCGCCTACCACTTCCATACCTGGATCAAACGATTAATAAAATCGAAGCTTGAATTACTTCCGTGGTCGTTATACATAGGCCTAATTGGACGACATTTTGCAGTAAGGAACTACAATTTTTGACTCATCCATAAACACCTATCTATAAAGATGAATGAATGGCAAATACGTTTTTCTTGAAATGAGCAAGAATTTGTAGTTCATATAATTGTTGGCTCTTCCATGAAAACAATTATCTCCAAAGGGAAATGAATAGCAAATACGTTGTTGCTGAAACGAGCAAGAGTTTTAAGTTCCTATATTTACATAATGTAATCCGAAGAGATGATTCTCAAGGAACGTAGCCTAAGGGACGCAACACTTTTTTCGAATTCTGAGATCCAAAAGCGGGAAAATAATTTTGAGATCTAATAGTGGAAAAATAATTTTGAGATCCCATGACAGAAAAAAGTTGTATTTACGTTAAAAAGAAATTATGCCAAAAGAATTTCCGGAAAAAACCCGCTCCACATTCCACTTCCGAGAAAACTTTCGGAAAAGCCAAAAATTGCAAAAACTTTAAAATTTGGTTTTTCCCGTTATGTTTTTCGAAATGCGAATTCCAATGGAGGACATTCGGCTGCTTTTTAATACCAACCAGCCTCTCAGTCCAATCATTTGAATAATTGGCATTTTCAAGGCAGTTTAATGACTTACTGCAGCAATTTTGCGAAATAAAGATTGCCTCTATATTACTTATATTTTTTTTAACTGTCATTGTCACACTGATGCCTACGGGAAAAAATATTAAATGTTAAGTTAATGTAAGGTATGCAAAGGTGAACTTACACAGTACAAAACTTATGACCATGGTACCACCAGTTGCTAGAGCCAAAATGAACCGGAACAGGAGGAATAGTTCAAACCATGGCACAAAGGTCAAAGCGCATCCACAGACAGCCTGCATAGCGATTGCAAGTAGCAAAGGGTATTTTCTACCAACTCTGCGTAAGAAATCACAAGATGCATTACAAGGTTAATACAAGTACTAGATAGGGTTTAATTTTAGAAACACTAATATTACTACTAAATTAACTTGAATAAAATTGCTGTAAAACGTAATTAACACTCGTTTATTTCTTTGCAGTGGTGAATCTTTACAATTGGCATCACTATTGGGCACCCCCTGTTTACCAGGTGCGCCCTTTTCAGCCGTCCGACCTCTTGTTGTAACATGTATACATGGGACATAGCGTGTTGTCTTATGGGAAATGACGCCATTATGGTACGGGCGGTAAAATTTTTATCTTGTTCGTTATCTGTTCTTTTTAAAAATATGCGTACGAAGTTGGATTTTGTGCCAAAAAAATTGTGCACTGATTTATTACCGGGTTGCATTATTTTAAGGTCCTTGTCATGCTTCAACATTTATATCCGATCAGTATTTTCCGAGTAAATTTAAAAAATTTAGGAGTGGGTGCGTGATCTCTTCATTTAGTGACGAATTACTGTGCTTTTCTGTGATTGGTTCATTTTCCGATTGTTTTCCTTATATATTAGTGGATAGTGGCGGCCGCCATTATCCCACCTAAAATTTCAATAATGAAAGAAAAAAAAAGAAAAAAAGGAGCATTTTACATGGTGGAAAATTGTTCTAGAGAACCCATTACGTCTATAAAAGACAAAATCAGACGTTAATATTGAACGATTGATTGATTTAATTCATGAGAATTGAACTATTAATTTGCCTTACTCGAGTGGCACAAATGGGTATCAAAAATGTTTTAAAAATGTTTCACTGAAATCAAGAAACGTTGCCAACACATTTCATCGAAACATTTTCAAAACATTGGAAATGTTTTCATTCACTTTTTAACACGTTTCAGGCACTTCTCTATGTCACCCCAAATTTTTGTCAAACTGACATCCTACGCAGATGTCTCTGATACCTATTGAGGATGTATCAAAGTTTCACTGATACGTTTCAGGAACAATTCTGAAACATATTTTTGAAAGGAAAGGTGCTTGATGATCTCACAGAATTGTTTCAGAAACGTTTCCAAAACATTTCGATGGTTTTCAAAATATTTCCTACGTTTCATCAAAACATATTGAACACGTTCAGAATGTGCTCATTCAATTTTTAACACGTTTCAGACACTTCTCTATGTCACCCCAAATTCTTGTGTCGCCTACACCGTGAGAAGATGTTTTTGAAACCTATTGAGGATGTTTCAAAGTTTCACTGATACGTTTCAGAAACATTTCTATTACATGTATTTGAGAAAATTAGGTTCTGACTGTTCACTATAAAATGTCTTAGAAACGTTTGCATGTTTCAGAAATGTGTTTCCACGGGGGTTGCTTAGAGGCTAAATAACAAAAATTTTCAGACATTTGTTTTAACAAATGTCACTGTGGGATCAGAACCGTCACAACAGGAATTCCTTGATACCAACCATGCCTGCCGACTGAATCGTTATACTTCATCATTAACAACCGATAAGAGGGATTAGGACACCTTCACTTTAGACAAGTATACGCAAAGCATGATGTATGGTTTCAATATTCTAGATAATCCATAACTTATGAGCTTTTATGGAGATGACCTCGATGCATACAAGGAAACATTTTTATAAATCAAATGTCCAAAAAGTATGGCTTGAGCTGAAAAATTAAGGTGAAATTGAAAAATTAAACGTCAACGCCCTCTGGTACATTCAGTTTGAACTAGGAGAAGTTTTAGAAAGGTCCTAGAAATGTTTCTATGTTATTCAATGAAACATTTCTAAAACATTACTAAAACATTTTTAAGTGATGTATTAATTCGAACAAAATATTCAAAAAGGTTTTAAAGATATTTTGAAAATGTTTTGAAAACGTTTTTAAAAAATCGGGCGGAAAGAATATAAAAAAAAGGTTTTCCAAATGTATCTCTAACATACACCTCTAAAACCTCATGATTTTCTGTATTGTTTCAAGAACATGTTCAAAACGTTTCAAAGTGACGCCACAGTAGGTGCAAACAAAGTATTTCAGAGAGCATTCAAAAGTATTTAGAAAAATTGAGCACAAAGAAAAAAAAAGGTTTTCAAATGGTATCAGAAACATTTTCAATTTAGATCTTCGATACCTGTTGAAACGTTTCCAGAATGTGTTCCAAATATTTCAACTAAAACCATCCATTTCAGATAACATTCATAATTTATTTTGGAAACGTTTAACAAAGATTGGTGAGATGAAGAAGATATTTTTGGAAAAAAATTTCGACTCAGTTCAACGTAACAAAGATCAAACTAGATCAAAATGTTTTAAATTTGTTTCAAAAATGTTTAAATGAGATTTGTAAATTTTTTATATCATAGGAATTATTTCTAAAATGTTTCAGATGTGTTTCTGAAAGATCGCGTAAAAATCTTTTTAAACTGTTTCTGAATCATTTTAAAATTATTTAGATCCAGCATCAAAAAACTAAAATTGAAACATTTTAAATTAATTTAAAAAATATTTTTAGGTGAAAAATTTGGACCTAGGTTTCACATTTTAAAAACAAAACGTTTTTAAAACGTTTCAAATTTATATTAATGAAACTTTCGAGGTGTTTCGTGTCAATTGTGTACTTCAAAAATGTTTTTGGAATGTTCCAATGAGATGATATAAGTTTGAGACTTTTGAGATGTTTCTGAAATGTTAGTGAAACAGATTGTGCTACTATAGTAAGGCCAATCACATTAGGCCAAGACGCTGAGGTTCAGCTTCGAAACACCTGTGAAGCATATGGCCAATGAGCGTAAGGAATGTCTCCTCATTCTCGGAGCTATGAGTGAATTTATCAGCTAAATGGACTGCATTTTGCAATTTGGACCTATAAATTCTAGCTCATCTGAAAAAACACTTTTGTGCATAGGAAAATTAATGACACATGCGTTGTTTTTCAACCGGGCCGGAATTTACAGTTCCTAATTGCAAAATGTAGTACAAATAGTGTAGGCTCTTTTATCATATCAGCGCTTTCAGCGTGGCTGAATACCTCCGCGTCCGACTCAAAATCTGGAGGTCTTGTTTTTCTTCCATATACGTAGAACGGTCGGGGACAGATTTACATTTTCAGCGCCTTAAGGCTGAACTTCGGTTGGCGTCTTACGAATAGGCGGGCAACAATTGCCACTGGATGGTGGTGGCTCAGGCGGTCATTTGTTGATACTGTGTTATTGTTCCTTACGGGTGTAATCTACCAGCCAAATTAATTATCCTTCTGCCTTTGATTAATGAAATTAAGATTGGAATGACGCATGATGTATGACGTACCTATCAGCGGCTACGCCGAAGATGATGTTACCCAAGAGCACACCCAGCATAAACGTCATTTGAGTGATGCTGACCCATGCCGCTCGATCACAGACCAAATCCCACTGCAAATGATAGCCCGAACATGCAACACAACGGAAAGACTCTCAGATCTTATGTTTAATATTAAAGCCTACCTTCTTAACAAAAAATACAAATAAAATTATATAAAATATATTAAAAGCTAGAGACCTACGACCCTGTGATCGTTTTGCGGTCCAACCCTCTGAGGCGTTTAAGCGCCTCGGGCGTTACACATTACGTGTTACTCCTATATGGTTCTATAATAAAGAGAATGATATTGTGCAGTTACTTTTCTTTTAAATTCAATAGTAATTTTAAAATGTTTTCTTTAAATTTAATCGATAGAGAGTAGAGCAGTTCTGTAAATATTTACAGAAAGGCAATTTCATGGTATATTCAAAAAGTTTGTGATACTACTTTAACATGTTTTGGTAATGCTATTGTCTTGAAAATGCCTAGATAATTTTTAAAAAAAATTTGCAATGGAATTTAATTGAACACCCTAACAATCTTAGTGATGTTTGAAAATATTATTGATTCATGTGGTATTTGGATAAAGGATTCTGGGTTAGAGCTGCATGGTTTTACGTTATTTCATCGTACAAGTAAATTCTGATGAGTTTTTATTGATACAGGTGGATTTAATGATTTCACAAAAAGAATTGTTTGAACATGTACGTAGAAATTTATGATGCTTGTTGAAGATTTCATAAAATTCAAGTCTTATAATCAATTACAGAGTTAGTTTTTCGGTAAAAGTCTTTTTAATCTCGGGACAATGTGTCATGAACACTTGATCACTAACTGAATCAATATTACCACAGAGGTGACTCCGTAACTGATTGTTAGACAAGATATTCAGGTTGAGCTAGGATGATTTTGCATTTTGTGATGCGGCCATTGGCTTGGTTTTAAGGCTTTATCTAGCCTTCAGGCACATTATTGAAATTTAATAGTTGTCGATGGGAACCGCTGAAACTGAGAATTTGTCATTACATAAAATCGATTCGTCGCAGTCAAGTACTCACCTGAGATATGATAGTGTTTCTCGAGATCGTCCTGTCATACTCCCACTGGTTGCATTTGACTTGGGTGGCACCTTTGCCAGTACTATGCCAACACGTTTCATTTCTGTATTCCTGAAACAGAGCAAAAGTTCATGCTGAGTCAGTCTTCCTTACACTAGGTATATTTTCAGAATACATAGACGATTACTATTTTTGAGATTTGGATAAAAATTGTGTGGCAAATGTAACGATAGCTGTGAATAGACGAGGATTTAAATGTAACTGGGGTTCACGGTGCAACGGTGCACCTTCAAATCCTCGAGTCGGCAACAAACATAGCAGTGCCTGACAGTAATGAGTAGAGAGATTTGTAATTTTTCTGTAGATTCATAAAAGTCTTAAAAGTGTGTAATAATCACTATATTACTATTGATCATTGTCTGAAATTATCTCTCAATCCAATGAATAGCTTAAGCTTAAATTAAGCTCTTTTATCTAGGCCGTAATTGGTACTTTGAGGCCTAGCAGTGGAAAGCCCGTGTCTTTAAGCTTAGTCTAATTATTTTTAGTCAATATGTCTACCTGAACATATACACTGCTATAGACAAATTCAGAGGCTCTTTACACTGAAAAAGAGGCTTCCTAAATTTCAGTTCACGCGTTTACTTCGATTTAATACTAATTCCAAGACGGACCCGACTTGGGAGAAAGCACCGGTTTTCTCAATGTAAGCCACCAGGATTCCATCGGAACAGGCAAATCCTTTTTTCTTACATAAAATAAACGTTGCTTTAAAATAAACGAATGTTAAATGAAAAATCATGTTCCTGAAAATTAGTATACGAAGTCAACGCCCTCTGGAGGCCGTCATTTCTCTTTTTCAAGTATCCACCTGCCTTGAAAGAGGAAAACACACGCTGCGTTGAAAAAAAATCGTTCTTTCAAAATTAGTGAACGGGATGAACGCCATCTGAGCACGTATTATTGTGGCGCGTGATCGTTTCATGTGCAGGGTAGATGTGGTGGCAATGCAACTGATTCAAAACATGTTGTTTTGAGTTACTTGCTTGCTGTTGCAGCATCTTCATCTGCGTACATGTAGTGATCGGGCATCAGGTATAAAAGATCTGAGCCATAATAGGAAAGGGCTCACTTCTTCTGTTTTTGGCTGGACTGCTGGTGTATCACCTTGGCAGGTAGCCAGACTCTGAGAGCACAGGTGGGCACTTAACCGATCACTTCACTTATGGACTCCCTATGTTCGTGCATCCGTATCCACGATTACAGAGCAATACATGTAGACCAACACAACTGATCCAACTGCTCATTTACCATCAAAAAGGGGGATACAAGATCATAATAGTACGTTGCCTCTTTTCAAGTCAACAGGTTGCTTAGTACAATGAAACACGTTGCGTCGAAAAAAGAAACCCGATGTCCTAAAATTAGTGAACGGAGTAAACACCCTCCGCAAGGAACGATGCAATTGGCAAGACACTGTTGTCTTTTTTTCAGCCAACAGTAAGCTTGATGAAAGAAGTCCTGTTGCATCAAAAGGAGAAACTAGGTTCCTTAAAATACCTAAGTAAACAGGGCGAGTCCTTTCCGAGGAAATGGATGCGATGGGTATCTTGGTTGTCGTTGCCTTCTTTCAGACAATAGTCTCCTTGCAAGAAGGAACAAGTTTCCTTAAAATTAAGAAACGGGATGGTGACGCCTCCTGCAAGGATAATGCGAATATAGCTGCTAAACGCCGTTGCCTTCTGCTGAAGCCAACAGATTGTATGAAGGGGAAAAGGAACTCATCTTTTAAAATTTTAAAGAACAAAAAATACGGATCCTCTGAGGGGAAAGGCCGCGATGCGATGATTATAATATTGTGATTAGAACAGGAATTGGGACCTAGGAATCGAGTTTGCGGGCGAAATCGATGGTTCGAGCTACCTCACGTCGGAGAATCTGGGTGCGCATCTGCCGACACAGAATGTATAGGCTATAGAGGGTGTCCCGGAGCACCCGTACCGGGCCTTTTTCTCGGTTGATTTAGGCCGGACGAAGTCGGGGATCGTGGGGTTGAATAGGGAATCGACCCCAAGAAATCCGAATTTCATGGTCTCGATACCCCTCAGCGGGGGGGGGGGGGTAAAGGGGGGTCACGATCTAAAAAGTCGGGGTTTTCGATCGAATTTCGATTCGATTTTATTAGAATTGAGAAGTACGGAAAATTTCTCGTGAAAACGACTCCTAAAAATTCAAAATCGGACCACTTTACGCCCAAAAATGACCCCTAAAAGAGAGGGACAGCGGCTCCCTCCATAATTTCCCTTTCGTCAAAAATGAAAGCAGCTTCTCCGGATAAAGGTGGCTTACCAGGTTATCGACCCTAAGGATCCCGATTTTCAAAACTTCAAAATTTGAGATCGAAATTGTGACCCCCATTTTACCCCCCCCCCCCCCCCCCAAGGGAGGCTTCGGACAAGGGGGGGGGGAACGCTGAATGTTGGCTTGATCGCTCCCAAATATGTTGAGGGCTGGCGGCAATTTTAAATTCACGCACTGAATAACACTGACGAAAAACATTATGATTTTCTGCGAATTTACACAGGGCCGTCTCAATTTTAATCTGATGGTGACGCCATCTTCCCGAAAACTGAACCTCACCTCACTGCCAACAGCCGTGGAAGCGGTTGGTTCTAATCCTTGAGCCCGTAACTTACGGACGGTTCCTATCCGGTCTTACAGCTTCGGAGGCCGTGCGGGCTCCAGGGACTACGGCCGCTGCGTCTGGTACTAGCTAGTTCACGGCGCGTAAATGCCGGAATCACCAGTGTCTAGAGCAACCGGGTCACACGGCCGTAGTTTTTAGCGGCTCTGGTGCTAGCACCTAGAGCTGCTATTCCGGTCCGTCTCTGCAGTGGATGTTACCAATGGTACATCTACTATTGGTTAGAGCGCGCGTTGGTAGATGGGAATCGTCGCCATTTTCGGCTGTGGACCTTACCATGATTTTATTTTAATTCATTGTTTTTTCTTGTGAGCGAATGATATGTTGTGTAGTGTATTTTTGGAATCATGGTGATACTGTCGATAATTCAAAACTGGTCTGTGCTTCAATCTCGTATTGAAAAAAAATTTACTTAACGTTTAAAATCTGAATTATCAAAACAACAAGTTTTCGCGCTTTTTTGGATGAATGCCGTGGTTGGAGCCTCCTGGTCGTACTATACTTCATGGACGGATTCGTCCTTAGCGGCGTTGTTGTGTATTATTTTCTAAAATGCTAAGTCGACTCCTGTTCACTCGATTTTCATGAAACTCGATATCCGGAGGTATATTTCAACGGGAAACTTGAATTTTTGGTCAGGTTTTCAAAATTTAAAAATCCAAAACAGCGGCCGCGGCCTAAAATGCTAAGTCGGCTCCTGTTTGATCGATTTTCGTGGGGCTCGGTATCCGGCGATATTTTCCGACGGAAAACTCGAATTTTTGGTGAGATTTTCAAAATTTCAAAATCCGAGATGGCGGCCATGGCCTAAAATGCTAAGTCGGCTCCTATTCACTCGATTTTCATGAGACTCGGTATTCAGAGGTATTTTTCAACAGGAAACTCAAATTTTTGTTCAGATTTTCAAATTTTCAAAATCCAAGATGGTGGCCATGGCCTAAAATGCTAAGTCTGCTGATTGTGGATGAGGAAAAAGATAACATATTCGCCTCTATTCACCATACTTCGTTAAAAAAAGTAAATTCGTTCTTTCAGAAGTTAATAGCTATGAGGGGCGGCTCGCGGAACGAGTCGCAAGTTCATCGCGAAGCGAGGAACTGGGGGTCTAGGGGCACTCCCCGGCTAGGCATGACAGCTCGCACAGCGAGCTGAACACGGCTATAGTCTGTCCGAGATGGGAAGAACCGTGGAAAGTCGAAATAATTAGCACTATTTTGCAGGGTGGGGGTGTCTCGACCCTCGTCAACTGTCACTTTTCGATGTTTCGCGAACCCCGCAGCCACCGCACAGGAGGCTATGGGCCTCGCAGCGGCGTTTTTCCCAGGGATACGAACCTGGAGCCGCAAACTCCTGTGATAGGCGCCGAGCGGCGCGGTACGGCAAGCGACTCATGAGGAGCCAGCCCTCTGTGCGGTACGCCACGACACAGGGTTGGTTCAGTGTCTTCATCTTTTACAATGGCTCGAACGCTACCCTTGCTTCTACATAGTGCAATTAATTCCGACTTTCCACGGTCCTTCCCATCTCGGACAGACTATAGTAGTTTATACGTCTTGGATATGAGCGGCCCAGAGCCGCTCTCCAGCGGCAGTGCACTGGAGTTACTGCTTGTTTTTTTTTTTCGAGTGTGGATAAATACACTGACCAAACCAAAAAAAATTACATCCGCCTACTAAGTGATACGGCTCGCCAATTGCTGATCCCTGCAGGTAATGCCTTCGCATTTTGCGTCATTATTCTCCGCACAATTGACTACTTAAGTGTTTGGTATGAAATGACGGGTATTTGGGCCAGAACGCACTTGCACTTACATAAACGCCGACTTAGGATTGAATAGTTGAATTAATTCGAATGGAAGATGAATGAGAAAACCTGTTGCGTGAGTGCGGATTAAAACTCAGCGCCGCTCCACTTACACCTGCTCGCAAATAACGGAAGCGCCGCGCCGCCGCGCCGTGGTGGCAGAGTTGAGTCACCTTAAAGATTGCCAAGTTGTGCCAGAAAAGTTTTGGCGCGTATACGTAGTATACCGCCTTTGCGATTGTTTCGAACCCCCACTCGAAACAATAACCGAGTCCCTTGGTTCCTTACCGAAAAGTGACTATTGCGAACTTCTGAGATTTTCCAAAGCGTGTAAAAAGTTTATTTATCCGTCAATAATTATAATTTAAAGTTGTTTCTCATTCTGGGGCCCTCTAGTTCATGTGTAATGAATACCAAGAGTCTGCGTTACTTGTTTTTTTTTTAAAAAAACCTTAGATTGCGACGCGCTGATTTAAAAAATGCATATATAAGCAGAAGCAAGCGAACTGATTCGAGGATGGCTGATCATGTCGGCACTCGTTGAATGAGAATTTCACTTCTTCGTTTTGTTTAAAACGTTGCTTTGACAGATCTCCACAACCCT